CAAAATATTCTGTTTTTAATTTTCAGTTTTCTGTGAGAGAACTGAATCTTGGTAAGCAGATTTGCCCAGGACTATAGCTAGCTGAACATAAGACTGATATCTGAGCAATATGAATCACAACACATTCACCATATCTGCCTGCCTGTATAAAGTCAGATCTTGTTTGTACTTTTTGGTTAAATGTAAATTCCAGGAGAGAATGAATTTTGCTTTTATATTACTATATCCTCATTGTCTTAAACAAAGCCTAACATGAGGGGAACGTAAGGGCTCTAAATCGATTACTGCTGTTATAACAAAATACTACAAGTTGCATCCATAATAAGCTCTTAAGATTACAGTATCCTTTCTTTCATGAGAATCTTAATTCTCCCCATCTAGAGTTTGAGAAGTCTAGGATCTAGGTGCTGGGAAAATTCATGTCTAGCACTACTTTCTGCATCATGACAAGCTAGAACAACACAGAAATGGGGGCTCAGTCCTCTGCCCATGACAGAGAAGATGGAGAGACTTGGCAGCTCATTCACCTGTCTTCTATAAGGGCATCAATGTCGTTCACAAAGGCAGAGGCTCATGATCTAGTCACTTCCCTGGAGGACTCACCACTTCCTATCACCTACGCCACATCAATAAAGTTTCCAGGTGAATTTCGGAGAGATACGAACTTTCCAATTGTAGGCATCCTCTTCTCTTTTTGGAGAGAAGGAGATTCTCTGTAGTAGAAGTCATACTTTTCTTCTATGTGGCTGTCTGAGTGCACCCAAGCTTTTATGAATCCAGGTTCTCAAAGAATGGCTGTGAGAAAGACAAGTGCCCTCCTGGCAGTCTTAATAGTCTATCTTGGGGTGAGTATGGACAGCCATTTACTTGAAGGCACAGTATAGTGAGAAAAATAAGCCATTTCACCTCTAAAAATGCTCTCCACCCTTTCCTATCTTACTATGTAAGTTTATACAATTTATTTTTCCAAAGAACTTAGTCATCAACCTAGTAACCTTTGTGATATATTAAAAATTGAAGTTCCCTTTGCTTCTGGAAATTTGAAGCATTCATTTTCATTATGAAGGATCTATGTGAAAACCAAAGAGGAAACTCAGAGTTCAAGAAATAAAGAATAACGCTGTAATCATAACAGCTCATTATTTTGTTTTTAAGCCTGATCGTTCACAAGGTTATTTTCTGGAGTTGAATATTAATGGACTCAGACTGTCTTTATGCAGAAGAGATCTTAGACAACAATGTTCGTAAGGAAGGACATTAATCAGGGGAGAGAGGAGAGCCTTGTTTCTAATAATGTTTGCATAATAGCTACCCTTGGGTGTGTTTCTTGGCTTAAAATAAGTACCCATGCTTTCCATATCCAACACAATGGAAAATATTTGTGGTTATGATTCTGTTATACAATCTTCTACGTACTTATGGGGATATCAAACTGAGAGGCTGCTGGAGAGCCTCAGAAGCAAGCAGCATCGCTCATGAATGAAATAAGGTAGAAGTTGAAAGAGGCCCTGCATGGAGGATTGGTGGTAAATGACTTAAGAGCAAGTCATGACTGATTTCAGAAGGAGAGAAGAAGCAGGCTGGCCTGCTAGAGGACATTTGGATGGTCCTGTGATCTGATTTTAACTCTTCTGTTTGCTTCTTACCACCTGGAAGATGGTGACGGGTACCTAAGAAGAGCCAGTCCAAGTACCTAATCTTGGCATACAAGCACTCACTTCCGTGGCCTGTGAAGCTACAGCAGATGTGATGTGGGGTTGCCCTCTGCTCAGAACTCTTTGCAGCTTCCCTCAAGTACTATATTTTCAAGTTCCATGTTTTTGTTCACATTCTTCCCTCATCTTATAAGGCCTTTCCAAGTCTTCTTCACCAATTAATTTTACTTCTCAGGCATAGTCGGTTTAAATTTCCCATCCTCCACAAAATCTTCTTTGACTGTACTGGTAGCCACAGGTCTTACCTACCCTCTCCTGCTGATTGATTGGTTCACATCTTTACACGGCATATGCCCTGGGGATTTCTTCTGTTGTCTGGATTTATTGGGTACATGAGCCAAGTCTGATTTTACATAAATGTTTAAAAATAATGACCTCATTTTCTCATAGCTTTCTTTCTCTCTCCTATTTTTTATGCTCACTTACATTCTGAGAAGAGGTCTATATAGTCTTGAAAACATAAGCAGAGCTGTTGTTTGATCTTCTGAGTGTGGGTTACAAGACGGTGTAAAGGTTCATTTTGTAGCTTTGTTTACCTTTATTATTATTTTTTTTATTTTTTTACAATCAGGACAGTCCACTGCAGCCAAGGGAGCATTCAATCGTATAAAAATCCAAACTTATTTGCTTTTCCAAGCTGAAATTGCTAATATTTTTCCTCAGCCTTCCCTTCCTTGTGATCTGTTATGGGGTTTCTATCCTGAAAGAAAACACCACCTCATGGCTCCTTGATCTGTCCTTCCCACCTGAAATATGATGCATTAACAGAGCTTCCCATGAGCAACTTCAAAGGTCAGGTCTACCCTTAACAGAAATTTCCTTCTGAATAGTAGTGTGTGTGTGTGTGTGTGTGTGTGTGTGTGTGTTTATGTGAAGTCACAGAAGTGTTGAAAAACTACCCCTACCATCTATTTATAAAGCCTTTTAAAAGCTTTAACCCTCACTACAGAGGCGGACATTACAACTGTTGGCCTTCTTTGTCAAGGAGAAAAAAAAAATGGCTTAAAATGTTTGTGTTCAGCAAATCATACAGAATTATGTCCTTATCCATCACTGTTTCCACAGCACTACCAACTTGGGAACAGTGTTTTCGGCCACCTTCTGCGGGTGTCATGGTGCCTAGTGGAGCTCCACCCACAGTGAGGTCAGTGTAGCAGTGGACAGAGGCCTAGGTGTAGGAGCGTGCATTATGGTGCTGGCAGACCATGCTAGGCTCTGTGCCTCAAGGCCACTTCACTCCCCATGTCAGGATCTTTATGAAACAAAGGTTCTGTAGGCATAGTCATTCTTTTCTGTTGTTTCAATACCTCTCCCCTTCTTGCTTCTTTTTTATAAATAGCTTTCTTAATAATATCATGCATGTTACAATGCATTCTGGTTCCTCTCACCTCTCCCTCTCCCTCCCACGGTCAGTCTCCCCCACTAATCCTTTCCACAGTCATGTCCTTTTGAATTGCTTTGGGGCCCACTTTGGGTTTTTTCCTTACTTTCTTTTTGTTCAGCTCAAAGACTAACTGATGAGCCCCTGTGTTGTATGAAGGGAGATTGGGGTCACAGAACGGCTCAAAGCTAAGTGTGCATTGCTTATATAGCTTTTTATAGTCCTTTCCAGTCCTGCACATTCCCCCTTCCTTCTTCTTGCCTCTTCCTTCCTTCCATGTTCAAACAGCCACCCTCTTTTCTGTAGGTTTTCAAAGCTTCTGCTTTGGCAAAGAGAAGGTACTCAGTCTTGTAGTACTGGATGCCATTGTTTACTCAGGACTCTTAAATGTGTAATAGTCAGTGGCAGCAAGGATTCTCTCTCTCTCTCTCTCTCTCTCTCTCTCTCTCTCTCTCTCTCTCTCTCTCT